AAAAACAAATATCTCAAAAAATCATCATCAGGTGAAAATAATAAATTAGAACTTATTATAAATTCAAAAATGAATTCAAAATGGAACAGTATTTAACACAAATTAAAGACCCCCCACTAAAGAAAAAGTATGTGTAAATTCAGGATAAGTGACCATGGTCTAATGATAGAGAAGGGTAGGCATGTTAGACCAAAAATAAAGTTTGAAGAAAGGGTATGCAAAAAGTGTGATACGGATGCAGTGGAGGATGAATTCCATTTCCTGATTGATTGTCCAAGTCATAAAAATGCAAGATGTAAGCTGTTTGGAAAAATTGCTTATATACATCCATATTTTAATTTGATGAAACCAGATGACAAGTTCATATACATTATGAGCAATGTAGATAAGGAACTTGAGAACTATATTAGAGAATGTGGTGCATTTTAAATATATATATATATCAATATTTCTTAATTTGAAATATGTATTTATTTAAACTACATGTTTATTTTTTCCCTTTTTTTAAATTTTAATTATTAGTTTAGCACTTGACTGTATGTTCTCTTCAAACAGAATGATGTCAATAAAATATTATTATTATTATTATAACATACAAGATAGCTGTTGTATGACTTTTACCATATCTGTGTATTTTGTAGTTAATGTCTTGCTATCCATGCCATTGTCGATATCATTTCCAGCAATGTTTATGGTGAGTCTTTTTGATCTAGATTTTCAATACACCTTTCTTTTGTTTATTTATCCACCCTATTCAACGTATACTCAATCCTAATGCCAGTAATGAATATGTATACTTAACTAAAAATATCTATCTATTACGGTAGCATATCTGGCGAAGTGACACAACAGCAATCTATCTACATACAACTCAACATCAAATATGTTCAGAATTCTCTAACACTAAAATGAAACCGCAGAAGACGTTAAAAACAAATAAGATTACCAATGCTTCCGCGAACTTCTCATCAACGAACAACTCATTTCCTCTGTCAAAATCTTCCGCCATCTTGCCCACTTAGCGCCCTCGCTGGCAACTTGTAATATATTGGTTACTCATATTGCTAAATGTTAATCTTTGATGACAACATGGATACCTCTCCAACGTTCGATTACAAATCGTATTTCTGCAATTAAGTAATCTATTTTCATTTAGCTGTAAATGAGTAAAATGCAAATAAATAAGCATTCGAGTTGTTATAATAAAAACAATAGTTTCTAAATAATGAACATCGAGGGCGATCAACCCTTCTCGAAAGTGGAAAATCAGACAGTCAGATTTATATAGGGCGTCATACCAAACAGTCTCTACCTGTATACCTGTAGACTTAACACTTTCTTCTGTGCTATAAGCATTCGAGTTGTTATAATAAAAACAATAGTTTCTAAATAATGAACATCGAGGGCGATCAACCCTTCTCGAAAGTGGAAAATCAGACAGTCAGATTTATATAGGGCGTCATACCAAACAGTCTCTACCTGTATACCTGTAGACTTAACACTTTCTTCTGTGCTATCGATAAAGAGCCATTGCTCGAAACGTCTAGCTATTTTTAATAGTTATTTAGGACTACGATTACCAAATATTATCTTCTATATATCATCTACCTACATCAGATTGATAGAGGGCACCATACTAAAACAGTCTCCGAGGATGCCAGTTAAATCAGCAGCACAAGATTATCAACAAAATAAGCAAATACATTACAACATGATATGGAGATTCACTATGTATTCTCATTCCCGTTTACATGGCAGTGAACACTACTTTAGTTTTAAGATGGGTACATGTCAGTAAACACTACTTTAGTTTTAAGATGGGTACATGGCAGTGAACACTACTTTAGTTTTAAGATGGGTACATGTCAGTAAACACTACTTTAGTCTTAAGATGGGTACATGTCAGTAAACACTACTTTAGTTTTAAGATGGGTACATGGCAGTAAACACTACTTTAGTTTTAAGATGGGTACATGGCAGTAAACACTACTTTAGTTTTAAGATGGGTACATGGCAGTGAACACTACTTTAGTCTTAAGATGGGTACAAAGCAGTGAACACTACTTTAGTTTTAAGATGGGTACATGGCAGTAAACACTACTTTAGTCTTAAGATGGGTACAAAGCAGTGAACACTACTTTAGTTTTAAGATGGGTACATGGCAGTAAACACTACTTTAGTTTTAAGATGGGTACATGGCAGTAAACACTACTTTAGTTTTAAGATGGGTACATGGCAGTGAACACTACTTTAGTTTTAGATGGGTACATGGCAGTAAACACTACTTTAGTTTTAAGATGGGTACATGGCAGTGAACACTACTTTAGTTTTAAGATGGGTACATGGCAGTGAACACTACTTTAGTTTTAAGATGGGTACATGGCAGTAAACACAACTTTAGTTTTAAGGTAGGTACATGGCAGTGAACACTACTTTAATTTCAAGATGGGTACATGGCAGTAAACACTACTTTAGTTTTAAGGTAGGTACATGTCAGTGAACGCTACTTTAGTTTTAAGGTAGGTACATGTCAGTGAACACTACTTTAGTTTTAAGATGGGTACATGGCAGTAAACACTACTTTAGTTTTGGGCTTGGTACATGGCAGTAAACACTACTTTAGTTTTAAGGTAGGTACATGGCAGTGAACACTAATTTCAAGATGGGTACATGGCAGTAAACACTACTTTAGTTTAAGAAGGGTACATGGCAGTAAACACTACTTTAGTTTAAGGAGGGTACATGTTTTATTTTAAAGAGAACTAAACTTTAGACACAGTGTGGTCCGCGCGTCGATCTAGTAAAATTGTTAAAATATCCGACAGTACTGTAATTACGCAAATTGTATGCAACTCTGTACTGGCTTTGAATATGTCAACGTAAATTTGTTTACAATATTGTACCAGCTCTGAATATTTCAACTTTGTAATGTATTGCTTTCATGATAATTATGCAAACTCAAGTTAATTTTTACTATTGTTATGATGCTGACCCGGGGTATTGAGTCTGTGAATATTTCAATATTACCGACTTGATAATGCGTTGCATTCATAATATTTGCGCAAACATAAACATGGGTGCATGTAAATCATTAACATAGTTGAACTCTGGTGACCTTGCCCTTTGTTATATAATATAATTCCCTCTATCACAGTTTGTTTCAATATAAATATGCATTGTCATAATTAATTTTGAATACAAACAAGTTTTGGGGTTGAACCAACAGTGGGGAATCAGTCTACCGAATGTCCTTAAAAGATGTAAATATCTCACAAAAACATTGGTGCCTTATTTGTTTAATTATTTTAAGGGACATAATTTACAGTTTTATTCAAAGTAATTCAGATATTTTAGTATAAAAATCAATGCCTCATCGCAAAAAAAAAAGTTCTGCATTTAGACGTGAATAGATTCATAAAACATGCAAGATAACAGAAAATCTTAGCTGGCTTTTGTCCAGTATTTTGTATTACATGAAAAGTAAAAAAAAAACACCCTTTATGATAGCTATCATGTTGCAAGCTCTGCTTTGTATGCAAATCAACTTAAATAGTTAGTTG